AAGTTTTAAGTTGTGCATGAAGAATAAGCAGGAGTTGGCCAGGAAAGAATGAGATCAATAACTTTTAAGGCAAAAAGAACATCATGTACCTGAGGTGGGAAAAAGCCTCACTTGTTTAGGAAGGGAAAGAAAGCCGGGAGGGCCGAGTGGTATAAGATGAGGCGGGAGGGCAGCCAGATCATAAAAGCCTTCCTATGGATGTTGTCATAGACTATGGATTTTAGCCCAAATACAATGAGAAACCCCTAGTGCCACTGAAGCAAAGGTGCTAAAAACATAAATCATTACTGATCCCATGGAATGTGTACACTTATCTAACTTGACAAAGTTCTACTAGATGCCTCAATACATTAAAAAAAAAAAAAGAAAAAAAAAAACCGACTTGGAAAATAGTCAATATACCAACCAAGCAGATTAAAGGACATCTATAAAGGCAGAGAAAAAAATTTAACTAGAAGCCAGGCCACAGCACATGCACCACAATATAACAGGTAAATTTAGTGCCATTTTTTAACATAGTATTTTGGAAATATTTTCAAGATGCTAATTCTATCATATAAAATAGACCTTCAGCAAAGTCATATTTATTAAAATAATACATATTTGTAAGGTGTTATTTAAGGGACATGGAACAAGTTAAAATTCATCAACTATTGTTTATGTTCAAGAGACCACAAAATTATTACTATATCCCAACATAAAGAAACGTCTCAGAAATTCAGTAGTAGTTGTTTTGTAACTGAATTAGGAACAATGACAGTGTAAAGATTAAGGTGTGAGAGGCAGGAGCTGAAAAACTCCTATTTCTTGAAAGAAGACAACCAGGAGAACAGAGGATGAAAAGGAGGAAAAAAATCCCATTGAAAGTTCCACAAAAATCTGATATCCATAGTACAGAGTTATTAATCAGAAACAACTACAAAAAAATCTCTAAAAGTAAAGTAACATGAAAAGTACTGCAAAACCTGACAAGTCAGTAGAAAGTGATGAACCACTTGAGCTTTCAATAAGTGCTTAATGTTAAACACTTGCTGGTGGTGATCTGCTCGGATGAGGACTTTCAAAGACACGAGCAGGGTTTCCCAGACACCTTGCTGAGAAAATAAACACACTCCAATTAGCACACAGTTACTGAAAAACATGATGCATGCTTTTTAGAACACACACAGTATAACAATTTAACACTGTGTATCTATTTAGTGTCAAAGATTAAATTTGTCTGAAAAAAACAAATCATAAGATTTATCCTCTATTATTTTTTGTTGTCAACAGGTCATTTCTAAATACCTATGTTGAATGCAATGCTGTATTCAGTGCTTTAGCATATTACCTTTTCTGTGATGTTAAATGATATGTATTTTCAAAACATGAATGACCTTGAGAGAATTATTCAAATCGGAGAAGCCTACATATGACCAATATAATTATTTTCAAATAATTTATGTTCAAAGAGTGTTATCAAAAATGTATAAATTTCAATGCTAATTGGCACATACAACATTTAATGAAATAATTTTAGAACAAATAGTACTAAACTGAAAAGTCACAATGTGAATATTCTGCTTTTGGATTAATTAACTTTTCAGTCCAAATAACAAAATTCTCTGCACGATTACAAACTGCATCTTCAAAGAGTAGTTGGCATCCTTTAAAGGTGCTTTAAAATACTCTCCCGTATTGAATCAACCTTAAATCATCCACAATACTAGAGATAAAGAACTTACATAGATAACTAATACTGAAAGATAATTGTCACCTTACCTTATTACCTTAATTGACCTTTCAACAAAACAGTTAACAAGAACCTTGGGCTGCAGGTCTTAGTATTTCTCCTGCCATTATTGGACAGTAATAAACAATGAAAAGGCCAAGGAATTGATGGAATTAATCATACTACTCTCACCAAGGCCTCTCTCTTCACAGATGGAGCTAAGATGCCCTAAAAGAAAAAGACATATGAAAACTGGGAGGCAGGGCGGCCTAAGTAGGAAAACTTGATTCAAACAGATTTGAAAAATAGTGCCAATGAAAACAAATCACCCCCACCACCAACAAAAGTCAAACTCGGTTCAAAAACAATTAATTAGATAAGAAAATATTTCAAATCCAAAAATGTTTTATTACTTCTGAATTTAAAAAAAATGTTTTTTTTAACAGACAACTCCAAATTTGCTTGTCCTTTCGAAATACTAAATAAGCTAACTGTCCCTCATATAATTAGGTTAGATTTTCCAATCTGTAACTGAGCACATTCTTTATTATATATTTATACTGCCTTTGATCTAATTTGTTTACATATGCTATCCCTGCATTTATTTGCTTTCTCTCCCTGCATTTATTTGCTTTCTCTCCCTGCAATATTACACATATTTTTATCTATCTACCTATCTATCTCTATGGTTATTTTAGGTTTAAAAGTGAATATTCAAAATGAGAATAGGAATCACAACAAATTACAAAGTTTAAAAAATTGACAAATACCATAAATACCACAAAATATAGAAAAATAGCAATAGTTTCGTTAGCTGCTTTTTAATACCTTCCTCTTATGCTTTGTAGCTACACACTTTTTGATAGCCTCTTCATATAACAATAGTTTTGTTATATAATTTTCTATAGGAACAGAAAAATAATTTTCTTTCCTCTAGTATGTTTGCGCTAAATTTATTTTATAATTACAGATAAGAAAACTTTTTTTAGCTTCACAACTTGTTATTGATAATGGTAAATTTTTGGAGACTATTGCCAAACTTGCAAATAATACTTTTAAAAATTCTAAAGGTATATATTCTGAATTGCATTTTAAATAATTATGTTTGATGATAATGTTGTTATATTCTACTTCTAGACAATCTATTTTTTTCAAAAATCACCAATACCTACTAGAACCCTGCCACACTCGGGAGGGGGACAGTCTACACCATAACTAAGAAGACTGTGTGAGCCTATTACCATTAAGAATGTTTACAACTAGGGCAGAAAGGAAATAGCCCTGCACTCATTTCCTGGCTGGGTCCTTGTGAAGGCCAGCTTCTCCATTCTAGGTGTTGAGATTCAGTGCCCAGACCTAACATCTATCTATGTTGCTTACTTTATGCTTATGATGAGGCCTTGCCCTATACACAACAATCCCAGCTCCGCCTCCTGGCCAGCATCGTCCCCCATTCAGAAGTATGTCTATTTCCCTCTCCTGGACCTGACTCTCCAGACTCTTAACAGGCTCCCCTTTCAGAGGTTATGGGAAATATAAGCTCCCAACTGATCCAAAGGAGCCCATATGCTCTTGCCTGAGTACAGTGTTCTCAGCCAGCCCAAGTTCTGATCTTGACCTTCCAGCTCAGCATTACTGGTGGCTATTCAAAACTTTCAATTGGAAATATCTACAGATTTTCATTTATAACTAACATAACATTGTAGTAAAGTCATTCTTTTTTTCAGAAGAATTAGATCAATATTTAAAAGTACATGTCTCTATTTACAGCAGCTAAAATGTGGAAGCTACCTAAGTGTCCCTTGAAGGATGAATGGCTAAGCAAAATGTGGTGTATCCATACAACAGAATATTACTCAGTCTAAGAGGGAAGAAAATTCTGACATATGCTACAACAGGGATGAACCTTGAGGACATTATGCTAAGTGAAATATGCTAATCACAAGAAGACAAATCCTATATGATTCCACTTATATGAGGAACTTAGAGTAGTCAAAATCATACAGTCAGAGAGAGAATGGTGGTTGCCAGGGGCTGTGGAGAGGGAGGAGTGGGGAGTTGTTTAATGAGTACAGAGGTTTGGTTTTACAAGATGAAAATTGTTATGGAGATGGATGGTGGTGAGGGCCTGCACAACACTGAATGTACTTGATGCCACTTAAAAATGGTTATGATAGTAAATTTTATCTTATGTGAACTTTACCACAATAAGAGGAAAAAGTACATATTACATGCCTCTGCTTTATTCCATATCTTCCAGTCAAGCAACAGCTCCTCTAACAGTTTCACATCTTGGATTATAGCACTGGACTCTATATCCAACTTAAACTCTCCATTCTCACTGATATGGATAATATCTTCACTGCAGCAAACTTCAAGGGTCTATGGAAAATTAGCATTAATATACCATGCATTAACATTGATTAATCAGAAAGTTTAACAGAAACATTAAGCTTTCAATCTTAGCAGTCATAACATTAAATTCAAAGGAAAACAGGTAAATAATTCAACATTTCACAAAGCATCTTTAGTTTGTTTTGTAAAGCAATTTAAATAAATAGAAAACCCCAACCTTTCAAATATTTGTGATTATTCACTTTTAAACATGGAGTAAAACAAACTACATTCTATTTTTATTTTTTCAAATAAACTGTTGTTAGCCTTTAAAACCTTTTCAGAATAGTAAGGATTCATGCCACACATGTATGGATCTTGATAGTTTAAAGAGGTAGGTGTGGGGGGCAGGGGTAGAGGAACCATCTTTTGCCTTAGTATCCCTATCCTCAGGGACAAATACTTTCACAACGTTACCAAATGCTGACAGCTAGAAAAAAGTTTAAATATATGATGATAGCGGGATCATAATAAAAACTATCATGGACATCTTTGACTTTGAAACTAACTCTATCGCAGCATTGCCTAATGGAATGGTGTGTCTCTAGGTATCTGGAGAACTGGGTTCTCTCCCATCACTGTGGAAGCTGAAGCAAACAATTTCATCCATCTACAGAATGAGGGGCCAGCCCGGCAGGCATCTGTGGTCCATCCAGATCTAAAATTCTATGAGTTTATTTTTTTTCTTACTTTTCTAAAACGCTTTAAAGAAAAGAAAAATGTAATCATTTAATGATGAAAAGAGCCAGAAGGGTACCTTAGTTTGAGTAAATATACCCTAATGAGTTTCCTTCACTTACTTCAGGAATAACTGAAAAACAAAACTATCACTGGAAGACTTTGATGAAGAGACGAGTATCACTGCATATGAAACTGTGAGAATAAATTTTTTGAGGTCATACTTTCAAAATGTAATAGCCAACGATGCATTTTCGTTTGATCGACACCTGATGAATCACGGAAAGTCCATGACAGTTTTCTAACTCTGGTATTGTTGGTTGCACTGAATTAGTGAGAGTATAACTTGCATCGCTAATGCTTGAGTTTCTTCACAGCTATTGAGTTCAACCTAAAAAAAGCAGATATATTTTTCTCCTGATTTGTTGAGAGTAAAAATTTAACATGTGTGATTATTACCTTTTTAAAATTTATTTTTATTTTTTTTTAAAAGATGACTGGTAAGGGGATCTTAACCCTTGACTTGGTGTTGTCAGCACCACGCTCAGCCAGTGAGCTAACCGGCCGTCCCCATATGGGATCCGAACCCGTGGCCTTAGTGTTATCAGCACCACCCTCTCCCGAGTGAGCCACGGGCCAGCCCATTATTACCTTTGTGTAATATCAATCTAACAGTTTCTATGAAACTTTACTTTTTAGTACTCGCATTATAATAATTTAAGAATTGTGGATAAACAAAACTGAGCAAGAGGCATAAATTCCAGTCTCTTTAATCTCTTTAGTACATTATAAATGGACTAAAATAACATTAATGACCTTAGAGGTCAGTAGCATTTTATAATTAGTGATCTGAATTGTCAGCAAAATGTTTCAAGTTTTCAGTAGAACAGTTGTTTTAGTCTGTTTTGTGTTGCTATAACAGAATTACCTGAGACTGGGTAATTTATAAAGAAGAGAGGTTTATTAGGCTTACAATTCTGGGACAGCTGCATCTGGCATGGGCCTCAGACTGCTTCTACTCATGGTGGAAAGTGGCAGGCAGCTAGCAGGTACAAGCAGATCACATGGCGAGAGGAAGCAAGAGAGAGAGAGAAGGTTCCAGGGTCTTTTTAAGCAACGAGCTCTCCCAGGAACTAATAGAGCAAGAACTCACTCATTAAATTTAATCTCTTTAGTACATTATAAATGGACTAAAATAACATTAATGACCTTAGAGGTCAGTAGCATTTTATAATTAGTGATCTGAATTGTCAGCAAAATGTTTCAAGTTTTCAGTAGATGACTCAATCAGTTCCCAACACTGCCACATTGGAGATCAAATTTCCACATGAGTTTTGGAGGGAACAACACAACCAAACTCTATCAATAGTCAATCAACAAATAGACTCTACATAAAAAGACATGATGATTGACCCCCGTGGGGCCTACTGTCTAGTCAGAGATAAGACCTACATGTAAAAACCATGTATTGTGCCTCATACTTCAATTCAGCCAACATTTTCTGACAACTACTGTATGTAAGAAACATACACCCATTATCATGACAAAAGGCAAAGAAGAATGAGACAAAAGAAATGCCATGAGCGCACAGAAATCACTTCTGACCCATACCTGCTTGGTTTTGGAGGGCTACAGAGGAGAAGAGATGGTCTGGAAGGAGAGCCCAATCCTGGAAAAGCAGAGATAAAGGGGTGGCTGGGATGCAGCCTGGAGAGGGATAAGGCCTGCACTGGAAGTCCATGTTACACCTAGGAGGCGGCAGACTGCCTGTTTGGCTGATGATGGACATTAGATTCAAATAGCAGGCTATGAATATAAAGATTTCAAGGAGACTGAAGTTTATTTTTGTAGGGGAGGGAAAGGTACAAAGTTTCTAAGTTTTAAATGTGAAAACATACTTCAGGTATTGGCAAGATCCTAATATATGTAAGATAAAAATTTAACCATTTTCTTAGGATCCAA